GAGAGAGAGAGGTGGGGGTGTGGAGGTAGTGGTAGGGACATTGTCTTCCTAAGTGGTGAAGCTTGTTAAATCCATGTCTACCTTTCTGTCACATACAACAGACAGGAAACTCTTGATCTTCATCTGAATGTTTTATTTCTTTCTCTGTCATCCTTCTCCCAGATCCTCACACTGAAGACGACCACAACGGAACAGACGACACAACCTTTTGATCAGAATCTCACAAGCGGTCCAACTAGACAAGGGAGACTTCCGGTACATCAGAGATCTGTTGGTTACCATGACGACCAGGAACAGACGCTTGCCGCCATCCGCTCAGCCCCGGGCTGTCCTCCGGAACAAAGTGTCCAACCACATGGTTCTCCCGCCCGTGTCTCCCCACTCCAGGATGTCCAAACTGTCAGAGATGTCGCCCGAGGCCAGGAGAGCCATGCTGCTCACACGGGAGGAGACCAAAGAGAACCTGTCGTCTAGTCGGCCAGCCCTCCACGCCAACCTCTCCCCCGATCCACAACTAACCGACAACATGCACATAGGGGACCTGTCCTCAAAACCTGGGGGTACCGCTAGGAAGCCTACAACCGCAGTCACGCCCACCACAACAGCCACGCCCACCACAACAGCCACGCCTTTCCCCAGAAGTCCCAGCAAGGGGCGTGTCCCGTCCAGACCCCGGCGCGCGGACACCACAGTGACGTCACAGCGGGCAGCCATGCCTCAGGTCACGGCGAGATCACGCAGCACGTTGTCTCACCACGAGATCTCGCGGTCTGTCAGCGACAGGAGCGGCTACCACAACAACACGACGAACGTGCACAACAACAACAACAACAACAACAGAAACAACAACAACAACAACACCGCGGCCAGATCTCGCAACACGAACGTTACCTACACGCTGGTGAACAACAACAACAGCAGCGTCAGCAATATGGACGACAACGACGACCATGATGGGGATGATGAGGGGAACGACAACAACAACGACAACTGTGCCGTCAGGAGTCGCGGTGACGGGATAGACGATGACCTGGATGCTATGGAACTCAACGGCAATGAGGACGTCACTTCTGCTTCTCCCGGTCAAAAGAGTGTCGGTGACGGTGACGGTGACGGTGACCGATCTAGTCAGAGCTTCGTGCTCACGCTGGACAGAGCGCTGGAGAAGCGAGGCGTGAGTCGACTGCGCGGGGACATCACGGACTCGGCGGCTATCTCGGAGCCCGGCACGGTGCGCGCGCTGAACGGCGGGAGACTGACCAACGCCCAGGAGGTGGTGGTCAATGTGTGCCATGATGACGTCAGAGAGCTGGTCTTTCACGACGACGACCAGGAGTCTCTGGACACCGCGCAGACCGTCTCCAACATCCGCATCAGCGTCTGGATAGAGTACAACAACCGTTTCCGCCCGGACATTCTGGACGACACGGAGGACGAGATGACGTCAGAGACAGGCCGAGACTCGCCCCGACACGACACGCTGGTCAAGCCTGTGCTGACGTCACCGCCAGGGGGAGGGGGTCAGGGCGGCAAAAGCCGGGCCGTGAAGCCTGGCCACAAGAACTTCCTACAGCCTCACAAAGACACATTGTTGAGTAGAAAGCCTCCTGCCTCTAGAGTTCACAGTCTCTCTGCCGGCAGTCAGGCCAGTAGCCATAGCAACAACAACAACAACAACAACAACAACAACATCCGGGCTCGCCCAAAGTCCGGAAGTCCGGCGGGCAGGCAGGAAGTGACGTCAGTGCGCGTGGGCTCCGGGCTGTCCACAGAGAGCTCACGCAGAAGCAGCACCAGCGCCTCCTCTAGACACAGGGAATCCTTCCTGCGCCGCAAAGCTAGGACGTGATTTCGACATGCTTGCATCTCTTCGT